ATACTATTTAGGATATCAATCCCTAATGCCCATCCCTGGGAAGTATGTAGCTGTGCTTCCTCTTTTTTGTCTTGGTCTTGAGGTGTGGCCTATATGGGAGTGTCTGTCTCTTCCAAGTTGCAAAGTCACCTTGTCTTCCATCTTGTCCCCTTGAGGGCCTGGCCCAGTCTGACTGCCTATAATATTTCTGTTTAACTTGGCTGCCTGCAACATTCCCCTCTCTGAAGAAGTAACCCGAACTGCTGTGAAGGAAATATGGGCGATGACCGCTCTGGCTTCTTCAAGATGAACCGGGTCATAGTTGTTGACCGGCAGTCAGATATATTTTTTAGAGGCTTGATCTAAAGGCCCTCAATAGACACCACACATTTTTATTACAGCTTTGAATCTGAAGACAAAGGCAAACTATTAAACATACATTGGCCAAATAAAAACACTAGTCAGAACATTTCGTAGGTGCACTAGCAGATATCTCTTAAATATGAGATTTAATCCTTTTATCTTCCATTGGATACTGTCTCAAACAAGCTGGCCTTTCTTATTATTACTGGGGAACATGAATTACTGAGCATAGGGAAAACAGTATTTTCCCGTTTGCAAGTGGGCCACTGGCTGGGTAACTACTGGCAAATCTGTATAAGCAATCTATTGAAAGTTTAACAGGATTTCTCCTTATATTGACAGTTAACATGGGTCCCCTCAGACTGAGAGGAAAGCACATGACCACCTCAATCTGAAACTTCCTCTGACTCCATCATAAACACTTTCTTTTTTCTTCTCTAGCAGCTGTGGACATTTACCTTTTTTCCTATAGGCTGCTAGTATCCCCGTTCTTATTTTCCATCTGTAATTCCATTTTGTATCCTTTTTACTATGAAACACCTCAACTCAGACAAATTTATTCCTGCAAACCCTTTTAACTTTTATAGCTTGTGTCAGAAATCTGGGGTTCACTGAGAAATAACTTTTTGGTTTTAGATTTTACCTGTATGGTTACCTGGGTTTTAGTATCTTCTAGAAATAACAAATTATCTGAGAGATTAAGACATATATAATCAAAGCATGAATATTCAAGTTAACAGGTACATTTTTAAAAAAAATATTTATTTATTTACGTGTGTGTGTGTGTGTGTGTGTGTGTGGCCAGCTCAGCCCACCAGGGGGCGGGGCTGGCATGTGGTGCTGGGGGTTTGAACCGTGGTCCCTGTGCTTTGCTAAGCTTGTTCTAAGTAGGTGCTTTAGACCACTGAGCCATCTCACCAGCCCCTAACAGGTACATTTATAAACCTTTTTGAGACCTAACAATCATAACTCTCTAGCTTTTAGACCCCTTTATTCACAGAGTCTGACAATGAGTCCCTCTAGCTTTAGTTAAGAGAGGTCACATATGTATTAACTATCAGCATGAAATACTGGAGTTATATTAAAAATCAACCAGGCTTACATACTCATCATGAAATACAAAGCATTTAGTCACATTAAACTAATGTCTCATTTAATGTTTTGGATATGGCCCCCATGGTAGGCAAGGGGCATTGCCAAGGGATTTTTCCTTTCAACACTGTGGCTCTGAGTTTTACATCACAAATACAATACCTGGCTCTATCTATAGGCCCAAAGCTATTGGACACTGCGTAAGCCAGTTTCTTTAGAACATTTTTACACTGACCAGTTGTCTGTCCTTTGGAACCTGTTTTAACTAGTGAAAGTCTTACACATGAATAACAGTATATTACATTTGTAAAACATCAGTCTTAGCACCATCATTTAGTAAACAACCTAAATATATTTCATTACCTCAGTTATAGCTAAAGCAATATATCTTCTAAAGTCTGTTTCTATTGAGGTACGATGACTGGAAGGAAAGTCAGAGTTGGAGAAGGACAAAGAGACTTGTGCCAATGTCCAGCAATAAGCTGGGTTTCTTTTCCCTCCTATAGTCATGATTACTCAGGGCTCCTCCGTGGAGATGGCAGGTAGAGGTAAGTCTGGCCAGAGGGAAGAGGCAGGCCCAGGGCCCTTCAGTCCTACTAGACCACCTGGAAAGCTTAGTCTGAGCTCTTGGGCCTCTGCCTCAGAGTGCAGTCTCTCTTTTAGTGGCTGCCTTGGCAGTCAGGGT